GGATTTGTCACCCCTTTTCCCCTGGGTGATGGAGTCACCAAAGATTACTCAAAGCCGCCAAAGATAACTCAAAGCCCATCTCTTCTGAGCAGTGAGAAGACCAAAAAGGGGGTTAATCTCCCAGAACCCTCAAGATAGAGGCATTCCTTCCATTTGGGAAATTAACCATGAATTAGGGTTCTCTTCCTGCATTTATTCTTCCAGGAAATTCCAGGAAAAGAACATAGGTGGGGTTTTTGCTAAGTACAGTTTAACAATAGAAGCTAGTAACATGCAATTAAGTTGATCCACTAACAAAAGCTTGATCTTAGCAAACATTCTCTTCTTACAGCAATTTCCCAGTATCTTTACATATCAATCAGTAACCTGTCTGTCTTTGAGCCAGCAACCTTGCTGTGTTACAATTCTTTATCTTACAACAGAGACTATATAGCCTGGGGAAATTTTCCTTTCCTTTGCAAAGTCAATTTTTGAAACTGCAAGGCTTCGGAAAACCAGGCCCTGTGAAGTACATTTGTTTTATGCATACTTCACAACAAGAGGAAAAATTTTTTTAAAAGAATATACATTTAGTCCACTTTTCTCCAGATGAGGAAAAAGTTATCAAGATTTTGTCAACTTAACATGTCTTTTTCTAGAGGTTATGGTTAGGTCTATGGCCAGACTACCCTGAATGCATCACATTGCATCTAGACATTATGGTTAGAAGAGGCCTCTAGAGGCAAGGTTAGAAGCCTCTCACTTCTCCTAGAGAGAATCTATTGTTTCTTTTCTTAGCTGACATCTTTTTGAGTTAATGGCATACAATCAGCTTCCTCTTCTTTGGTATTTTCTGATGATTTTTTTTCTTCCTATTATGATTTTACTGTTACCTTCTAATTTACTTTTATTAGATATTAGAAAAAACAAATTCTGTGATATGGCTCCATTTCTTTAACTTTTTTCCAAATTTCTGCTTTTTATTTACACATATCATGGGTAACTCTTTTTTTAAATGAAAAAGAATATAAAGTATCAACACAGTTTTATATCCAAAATGTGCCAAAATATGAGTCTTGAAAACCAACTGGGAATAGACTACCCTACCAAAAACTCTATACGTGTATTCAAAGTAACAACAACTCAGATTTGATTAGGTGGTGATAGCACCTCAACTTCAATGGAAGTAAGAACTTTTTAAAAATCTGAGCACTTCTACATAGTTTAATAATATCCTAGGGCCAACCCATGGCTCACTTGGGAGAGCATGGTGCTGACAACACCAAGTCAAAGGTTAAGATCCCCATACCAGTCATCTTTTTAGGAAAAAAATAAAAATAAAAATAAATAGTATCCTAACAGGTAGGATGTTGGTTACTTTTGGGATATGAGAGAAACATAATCTAGTGTATTTACATGCTTTATAAATTAAGTAGAATTATGTTTTTCAAGCATTTAAGGAACAAGGTGGATTGGACTGATCCTGAGAGCAAATTTTCAGAAGCACAAAAAATATTGGAGACTGTATTATATTTTTAATTAAAAGTATTTTATGCAAAGCTGCTGCTATTTTGAATATCTGGTTTTCTTAGATTGCTAGAGATTAGCAATAACTTTCAGCATATTCCCAATCTACTGAGCTACCTTTCGATTGGTACATAAATGTTCTTAAACAGCCACACCTGAATTATTAAGTTCCCCTACATCCACATTTCTACCAAAACCTATGGTAAAGTAGAAGCAATGCCATACAATGGTTTAAAACAAACTATAGTTCAAATCCCAGATTCTCAACTTTCTCCCAGAGTCACCTGAGGATACTCACTTGATTTCTCCAAGGCTCACCTTTCTCATCTCTAAAATGTGGATAATAATAGTGTCAAACTCATCGGGTAGTTTCAAGTATTAAATGAGATAAAACACGTAAAAATATTAAAACGGAGCCAGTACTTATTGTTTAGTGAATAATATCTAGTATAATCACATGATAACAATATCCTTTTTAAGTAATTGGGGCTTAACTGGAAAGAATAGGTACTTAATTTAAGATAGTATCTCAGAACAATCTAACAAATGTGAGGTCTGCTGAATTTAACAGGTCCAGGGAGATATGAGCATAGGGCTTCAGTCACCCCTCCCTCACCTTTGTCTGGGGTAATCACTAAATTGCACATTTCGGTAACTGTTTCCCAGACTAGTCGCTGCCCCAATGCTTACAAACTACCCAAATGTTACCACAACTTGTACAATAAAACCCTCACACTTTCTTAGTTGCAATGTTT